CAGAAGCTCGCAGCCCCGCCGCAGCCAGCCACACCACCCGCGCTGCCCGGCAGGAGCAGCGGGCCAGAGCGCTGGTGGTGCGGTGAGGCTGTGTGGGGAGGGGCCGGGGGCTGGCCTCCCTGGCCGGGAGCTCAGGGCCCGGGCAGGACGGTCCCGCGGGCTGGATGTGGCCCGCGGGCCATAGTTTGCCCACTTCTGGCCTAAACACTGCTAGCTCCAATGGGAACTTCTAGTGAACACAGATGAACCTTAGCAGGAACAGCCCCAACCATGCTCCGAAGCCCCATTGCACCCTGCCCAGTTCCTTACCTCTGAGTGAGTCTTGAGGATATGGTACTTGACTCCACTTTCTGAGCTAAACTCCTTCTGGCAGAGAAGGCACCGGTACTTCCCAACAGAGTGGTCTCCCTGAAAGGCAGAGAACATCCTCCTGTATTCCAAAGTAGGTTCAAACGTGCGCTGCAGGAGAGAATACAGCCTCCCTCTCTCCTCACAACCCAGAAGTCCCTTGAAAATCTCTAGGCATTCTCTGTAGAAAATGGCCTGTTGCTTGGGCCCATGATGATGGGTCCAGGGCCCCTTGAAGGCCACAAATGCCCCCTCAGCATCCAGAGCTCAAAGACCTTGTCTTCAAGGTAAATGCGTAGATGTATTCCTAAAATACTGCATCCATGGTTATGTGGACACTCCAGTGCGTGTAATCCGGCCCCTTATCTGTTACAGTGAGGGGGCTCCTTCTCCTCAGAAGGATCCAAAAGGAAGAGAAGCTTCCTTTGCTACAAATGGTGGACAAATTCTGGGCTTGTGTGCAGATGCATGCACATTCGCATATCTGACTTGTGTGGGCAATTACTGCAACCATGGTAAAGTTGCAAACATTATCATGCTCAATTAGACACCTGTGCATGCAATTACCCACACAACAAGTGCAAAGCAGGTGCACAGATGCACACATGTATCTGAAAACTTGGACCTACTCCCTAGTACACCCATGAAAAACATCAGGGAACATGATGTGTAAGACTTATTCCCTGGGGAAGCAAAGAAGAGCGAGGAGCTTCCACACAGAAACAGAGAGGCATGTTTTCCTCCACAATGGTGTGGATTTTAATTGCCCGAAAGCCAGGAAATTCAAAGCTGCAGTTCCCATGGCAACTGTAATTGTACCTGTGTATCAAGGCATAAAAGTAACCCCTTCTACAATAATACAAAACACCACATATGCACCCCAAGGGGAATGAATGATGGCTTCTGTGGAAGCGAAAATGGGAATTTCCTGGTGTTTGTGCATTTAAAATCTCGACTGTAATATTACATTAACAGACTTTTTTTTTCATTTAACATCGCTAGCTACACAATTTCTTTACTGTCAGCAAATTCAGTGATCATTAAGAACATCTACTGGGAGTGAAACTTCTAATTTATGATCAATGGGTCTTTCCTAATTTTGCCTTTATACTTCTTGAACAGGCCATTAAATTGCTGGATTTTCGTTATGAGAGTCCTTGTGAAAATGAATGATTTTTCGACTCTGCCTCGGTCCACTGGCACAGAGGAGATAATGCGTTCTTTATTGACCAGGGAATTATATATTAGGCCCTCTGGGCGATGTATGGGCTCTGTGGGAATTTCTTCATAATTGGGTTCATGTTGTAAATTTTATGGCAGACAGGTCTTTCATTTCCTAGCTGTGTCTGCACACAGGCAGGCCGGGCCAGCACAGACTCCCACTTCACACATAATCCAGAAACGATCATGCAAAATCACAGATCATTGATCCCTATTGACCCCAGTGCAATGATTCTGCGTCAGTTTGACCCTTCTTAATGATCAATAAATATATTCTAAACACTCCACTGCGATTTCATGGAAAATATAATTCAGTCCATCTCCTTAGGTTTCTTAAGAATTACTGGATGGTGTCTGCCAGACACCCCCACTACCCACCCCACTGATTAGTAGAGAGGAGTATTGTAGGTTTAAATCCTGCTGTCTTTTTTCCAGTAAAACTCCCTCTGAAGTCACTGCTAGAGTAAGAGCTGAGACCCTGTTCCTCACACTAATGATGATTTGTGTGTTATGAGTTCTACAGCAGCCATGGGGCGTAGTATCCTCCAACAACGTTCCTCCATTGTATTCTCCAACTAACCTCCAAAGCTGTCCTATGGCCAGGAGTCTGTGTGTGGGAGCCATATGTCCCCTGCTCTGCCTGTCCCACATTGGACTCCAAACTACATCTCCACACAGTGGTAGAGGACATCTGCAGGCTGATTGCGCAGGAATTCCCCATGCTCTCTCCATGCCATGGGACTGCACTGAGTCTATGTCCTTCCTTGCACAAGTTGGAGAGCAGGGACGACATGAGTCAGGACGACATGATTTGATCTGTAGTCTGGATGCTAGAGGCAAGCCTGTAGATTGCTGCTAGCACAGATGACATCAGGTATCGGCAACCTTTGGCACGCGGCTCGCCAGGGTTTGTTTACCTGCTGCATCCACAGGTTTGGCCGATCGCGGCTCCCACTGGCCGCGGTTCGCCGCTGCAGGGGGCTGCAGGAAGCGGCGCGGGCCAAGGGACGTGCTGGCCACCGCTTCCCGCAGCCCCCATTGGCCTGGAGCAGCGAACCGCGGCCAGTGGGAGCTGTGATCAGCCGAACCTGCGGATGCAGCAGGTAAACAAACCGGCCCGGCCCACCAGGGTGCTTACCCTGGCGAGCCGCGTGCCAAAGGTTGCCAATCCCTGGTCTACATGTTGCAGAATAAGGCACATGAATTTGTGCATTTAGAAAAATACATGGGCAGTTGCTCGGCTGATTTGTGAGTGCAGTTACCACAGCTGTGCACTCAAGTGACCAGTTAGGGATGTAAGAGATCATTTGTGCATTTGTTTCCTGTGCACCGCCATGGTAATTCCATCTACAATTAAGGGGGCAACTGCCTGCATAGTTTTTCAAATGCAGGCCTGCAAGGTCTGGAGTCCCTTGGCTTTGCTGTGAAGGGGCCTCTTTTTCTGGCAAGCAGGGTGATTTTGCAATCCATCCAAACAACAGTTACCATCTCCTGCATAGGCTGTTTTATTTTGTGAAAACTCTGCTTTTTGTGCAGGATTTCTGCATACGATTTTCTAAACTCTCTCATTAGTGTTCTAGTTAAAGGTAGTGGGGAGAGGGCTGTGAACGTTTTCAATAATCAGCAGGTAGGGGGACCAGACAGCAAATGTGAAAAATCGTGACGGGGGGCGGGGGGTAATAGGAGCCTATATAAGAAAAAGACCCAAAAATCAGGACTGTCCCTATAAAATCGGGACATCTGGTCACCCTATCAGCAGGTAAGAATTTGACCCATAGGAACTGAAGCGTTGCCTTCTGGAATCTACTACATTCAATGTGATTTAGAGCTGGAAGGATTTCCGGAGATAAAAGTTTTACAAGTTCTTTCTTGGTTCCAATTCAACGGTTCTGCACTGAGTCGCCCTCCCTTGCGTGGGCCAATGTTCCTGGAGTTAATTTAAACTGGAAGCACTATTCCTGTGTCTATCGGGTGTAACAGCCCTCATGCTCCACTACAGTGGAGGGCATGTACTTGGCTAGATAGATAATGTGACTATGTGGCCATTTCCCTGCCCTTGGTTCTACTCTTCACGTGACACACCGTATTTTCTAGGTTGGGATTTCCGAAGTGGGTGAGTGGAGTTAGGTGCCCACGTCAATAGGAGTTAGGTGTCTAATTCCGTTAGCACCTTTCTCTTTGGCACTGAACGACGGGTTATTTTGTATTTTCTGTACTGTGTGTTAAGCATCAGAACCCTGCTAGATGGTTAGGATGAGAATCACTCCGGCTAAGGAGGAGCCTAAGCAAGGATGCCAGAGGCACTTAAGCCCCGTGCTTGACAAACTAGACAGCATGTTAAGGCATGTCTCTCTACTCCCTGCTGACCATGAGGGTGGGGTCCGTACCTGCCTGAATAAGGTGGCATGGCAGATAGCACTGAGCGTACGCTGTATCAGGCTCGATACATGGCAGATACACAGCAGGGTTTCCCATCTCCAGGGGTGTGTGGCAGGGCTGTGTTCTGTCACCACGGCTGTTCGGCATCGGCACTGACTGGTTGATGGATAAGCCTGTGACGGCAGCTGTCACTGAACTGAACCCGGTTCTGCTTTGAGATCTGCAGTATGCCAACGACATTGTCTTGTTGGCTCAGTTTGGTGAATCGCTGCAGCTGAGGGCCGGTCTACTAGGGCAAGAAGCAACACACGCTGGTCTGGTTATTAATCCAGGTAAGTGCCAGGCCATTACCATCAAGCAGCGTCCAACTCCAGATTGCAACCCGCTCAGTATTAACCTGTGCGGACGGTGTATCGAGCTGGTGGCAGCTGTCAAATACTTGGGCAGCCTCAAAGGCGGTGCTGGAAGATGCTCAAAAGATTCGGATGTGCTTCTAGCAGCAGCAGCTGCTGCCGGGTTTCAGGTCCTTCGGCAGCCTCTGCGGGGGCGTCGCGACGTCCCGTTTGCTACCCAGCCGCCGCGCTACAGAACGCAGTGACACCAGCTCAGTTGCAGCGAAGGGAAACGTGGGCGCGGAGGGAAGCTTAAGAACACCAGATTGATGTCTTCAATTCTCGTCCGCTTTGTCAGCTGCTTCAGTGGCAGGACAAGATCCGAAAGGTGAACTCAGCAACTGCCTCCATCAGCACTGGCTTGGTTTCTGCAGCTCGCCTGGTATGGGCGTAGGATTAAAATGGAAAACCAACCAATTCCAAGGCGTGCGCACCAAGGGATGCTGCTACATGGCCAGTGATCACACGGGCGTCCAAAGCTTTGGTGGCATGACAAGATGGCTAGAGATGGATACAAACTGAATATACAACCCGACCGCCTTACGTCCCTTGCCAGAGATTGAGCTGGGCGGCGCTCAATCTCCAAGGAGGCCACGCCCCTTTGGGACGTGCCATGATGCCGATGACGTAGTATCAGGCTAGGGGAGGGATCGTGACTGCAGGAATTCAGTGGCCAGGCAGGAATGTCTGGGGCAAGCGGCAGACCCGACCCTGCGCTGCGGCTGTGAGTCCATCCCCAAGGCGGGAGTAGGCTATGCCGGGCCCACACTCTGTCCCAACTCAGGTGGTGGATTTTGGCTCCTCATCCCCAGCACACTTGGATGAAAGGGTTAATGAATCGACTGCTGCCATCTCTGGGCAGTGGGTACGGTTCAGGGGACTTGGGACGTGAAACGTGGAGCTTTTTACTTTCTGTTCCAATCCGCCGGAGGCTGGGAGCAAGTGAAAGCGGCCAGCATCACCAGGCGGCCTGTGTGAAAGGGGCTGGTGCTCTCCATCCAGCTCACAGATGGCAGGTGACAATACAGGAACTTGTAATCTCCCTGCACTGATCCTGTACAAGGACTGTGGGCCCGTCCGGGGTTCAGGGAGTGCCTGGCCTCCTGCTGGACCACTGCACAGGATGACTTTCACCCAGCCAGCTCTACTTGGCAACCAAGGCCCCTGATTTCAGCCAGCATGAGGCAGGCACGTCTCTCCTCACCCCTAGAGGCAACTCCTCGAGGGCTGTGTTAAAGCGAGTGCATGGGGCAGCCTTGGAAAGTTTCCATTAGCACGGCTTGTGTGGGAGCTGAGCAGAAGGTTCGGGCTCTCAGTGGCATCAACCTTTCCCAAGGACCCAATGCAATAAATCGTTTTTAAAAAACCCTCTGAAATACTTTCTATCGGGGGCACCTGGCCCATGTCCCCCTAACGAGCAGAAGGAGAATGAGAGAGAAGACCGCCCGCCCTAAACAGTGATGGCGGCAGAACGACAGAAAGCCTAGATCCATTTACCTTGTTGCAGTTAGTCAGGTGGGCTTTCAGGCCAGAAACGCTGGAGTAGATGGCTTCACAGCTCTGCAGAAAGAAACAAAGAGGCAGAGAGGTCTAGCAACTTGCTTCCCGTCTTTCTATATTTCATGGACTGCAGCCCACCGTACCCAGGAGGCTGTCTTTGATTGCCAGCCCTGGATAATCAGCAGGAGGTTAATTTTCTGTGTGATGCACAGGGATCGAGCCACACGTTTCCTATTAGTGCTAATGGGAGTCATGTGGCTGCATTCCTCTGCACCAGGGCTGAGAAATGTATCCCTAAATGTCTCTGTGAAAAATGTACCTTTTCTAGCGGTTAGGAGGCCCCGCTGAGCGCCCCGAGTTCTTACAGCCGCAGCAGAAGATCCAGACAGAGAGGCTAATTACCAGGCAGTAGCATAACCAGTTTCTGAGCAGCGTCTTTTCAAAGTGCATGGAGATGACAGTAATTAGCTAACACGTCTCACCCTGCTAACATCCTGGCTTTAAAATTCCCATTCGCAAGGCCTCGTTCCGGATCATAAATCAATGGCCCAGTGAGATGGGTGCAGTTCACATGCAGAGGAAAGACAGGCAAAGCCCGAGTTTCAGAAGAGGTTAGATGCAGAAGTGCACACCCAAAATGCACGCCCCTAATCTACAGGGAAAATGACCGTGGCTGTGCAGGTACAACTGGGTATGTTTGCGTGCAAACAGCTCATCTTTGCTCTTTGCACACTCAGTTACTTGAGTTGCACAATCAGTTACTATAGTCACATCTATCTAACAGAGTAAAAATCAGACCCTGACTTGCTTTAATAAGGGACAATCTAAGGAAATGTGGGTCCTGTAGAAAAAGAGACTCCCTGGATCAAAACCTGCACGGCTTTATTTAGGCAAAACTTCAGAAAGCAGCTCCCATAAACCAGAGCCAGCAATCTTTAGGAAGGTCCCTCTGAGCCGCTGTTTTAGCGCAACAAGCAGAACTCTCCCCTTAGAACAATGAGCCCCAGATTCCCATTGCCACGCTCTCCCCTCTGGCTGGTAATTATGTCCATCAGTATTATAATGAGTACCCCAGGAGTGCACAGAGATTGGACATGCTTCAAATAGTCATATGAATGGGCCAAATCCTGAAGTCTTTACTCGGGCCATGCTCCATTAACTTCCCTGGGAGGGTTACCTAAGTACGGACTGAATAAAAACCTGAGAAGCATCTCAGTGTTCAGTTCCGGGAGAATTCCCTCCTTCTACTGACCATTCCAGCTGTGTGTTTTCTTTTGAAAAAATCACACCCGTGATATGTACAGAGAACCTCCTTACGTTATTGGGGCAGTTGATGTGTCCTTTCTCCTTCACTTCATTTTTCCAGGTTTCCAACAGCCTCGGATTTAACTTCGGAAGCCCCGGCCGGGTGTAATTTAGCTGCCAAACAATAGAACATTATTAGTAGAGCTGCGCGCACCAGCGCTCTGGGCCTTTGAATGGGTCCCCCCCGCCCGCCAAGAGGTGAATCAGGGTGAACAATGAGTTTGGAGGTTTCAGCCAAAGTCCTTCATAGCGACGTCATCCTCCCCACGGAACACACTGAACGCAATCCAGCGTGAGAGTCGGTCTCTGCTCTGGAGTGGCCAGGGACTGGGAATGAACGCGAGGCTGGTTAAGGTATATGACAGAGGAGCGTGGGAGAATTGCCTACACTACAACTGGTGCCAGCCAGTACTATTTGAAGCAGCTGTTTTCTGAAGACAGAAACGTAGCTGTCCTGGAGTCTGATCTCCCATTGACTTCAGTGGGGGCAGTACTGGGCCCAACATTTCCACTCTTTGTGCTAAAGATGCCCCTATAGCATTGCTGCACTTCCTAACCAATTAACAAACAACACTCTATTGTTGGCAGAGGGGGCTGATGTCTAACTTTCAACAGCCTATCTGGCTTCCATCCACTGATTCACAGGACTAGTCCATTAAACAATGAAAGACTCTGTGTTTCTGTCTGCTCTCTTTTTTGGCTTGGCCTCTCATTCCAAGTTCCCTCATTCCAAGTGGCCTCTCATTTTCATTTTAATTACAGCTTTGTTAGTAACTTCGGGGCTTAATGTAAGGGACCAGACCTTCAAATGGACCTCACTGTAGACTCCATTTTTGTATGCGCAGCTCTGCACACACAATCACGTCCATGGGCAATTTCTGTGCTGTACTCTTGCATGTGCCTCTGTTGGCTTAAGTTTTCAGGAAAATGTACACGCAACTGCATGCTTACTTTGCAGGCTGTGTTGTGGTAACTGCACGCATAAATGGTCATTTACATAGTCTAACTGGCTAGCTGCATATGCAGCGACTGCTGTTGCATTTGTGCATGCATTTTTGTGTGTGGAACTGCAGACAGTTTTCTGAGCATTTAGTTGGATGGATTTCGTATGTGTGAATTCTACCATCTGTGCTCACAAGTGAAAATGCATAAATTAACGGCGCTTGCAAAAGAACAGGACTTGTTTGGAAAGTGTTCCCCAAAGGAATTCAAGATCACATTTTCCAATAGAATTGGGAGTTGACAGTCTACATTTCTTTCCCATCTGTGACTTTTCTGAACATGCTGATTTTGCCTTCTTGCCTTCTTCTACCTGGGCTGGGGCGACATGCTTCCCTTCCGGCAATCGGCTCTGCTCTGAAACATGGCACTTGCTGAGAAAGGGGATGCCAGTGTCCTACCAAGTTCATATGACTTTAATCACCCAGAGGTCTGTCCTCAAACACAGGCCTTTCACTGCCAATCAAATGTCACCGAAAAATGAAAGAGCCACATCTCAGAACAGACCATTGAGCAACCTCCATGCGCTCAACTCTGTCCAGGAGAAACGGGGTGCCATAACTGGAGGCTAGATGGAGCCAACACAGATTCCTGACGGGAATCCTTGCTTGGAGCTGTGTGGGGAGGCCATACCTGAGTGGGGAGGAGAACACAAAGCATTGCCCACTGCCCCTGAAATCTACAGCTGGGCAGCAAAAGTCCCCTGCCCTTTAATTAAAACTTGAAACAAATCAATAGATAACACAAATGAACACTAATCGCAACTGGATACGGAGCCAGCAGCTGCCCGACCCCGCAGCCTCACAAGGGGCGCTGAGATTCCAACATCTCTAGTCACTCCAGCTTCCCAGCTCCAGAGAGAAATCAGTGTCACAATAACTTGCAAAGACCACGTTTCCCCAGAGCACTGCGGTTCCAGAGACGTCAGCATCATCTTTATGTCTCTATTAAGAAGGAGCCTCGGGCATGGAATATTTTATTTTTTCCATTTATTTTCTCAAACGGCCTGTAAATAAAAATCTTCATGGCCAAATCATTAAACAGCTACAACTGTATTTGGCTAGGGCCCATCATCATTTCAGGAGAATAGCTGCGGTGGGGGGATGGAGTGGGGTGGGAAGGCTTTTTGACTGACAGTTGTATTTAATTAGCTTTCATATTTCAATCCTCTCCCTCTAGACAGCTCTTCTTCCCTAAAATACACCATAACAAATCAAAACCACACTTACTGCCCAAGCCAGAGCCAGCAAACTGCAAATCAAGCAGGCTTTATGAGTCAGAGAGGTTCTTAACACAAGACACTGTTCTCTGATCATATGCTGTCTCTGTAGAGCAAAAGCTCTGGGAGGAAGAGGAGATACAGTTACTAGGCAATTCACCTTTGGAGATGTAGGTTTAAAGCTAGTTGGGTTACAAGTGTAATGAGTTTGTGAGTCTCAGCCCCTAGTTCTTAATTAATTGGCTTTTGTGCAGAGCACAGAACCCTGTTTTTTGAGATGGGCTGGAACCAGCATCTTGCATCCTAAACTCATTCCCGCCCCCACCTGGGGTTTGTTGGAAAATCCAAACCCAGATTTGAATTTTGCCGCCTTGCTTTATAATAGGTCAAGACAAATGTCCATCTCTAACCCGGACTGATTTTGGAGGTGTTGGAATCTAGATCCCAGTCTGGATTTCACAGCCTGAGCCCAGGTCTAAACTTAGCATAGTTCTTCATTCAGCCAAAGGCCAGAACTGGAACTCGGCGGCTGCCTATCGGTGGACACACTGAGGTGTATTTCCTCCTTTACACTAGCAGCTCTGCTAGCGCATTTCAGTCTCGATCGGTGCGAAAACATCACCCCTCAGTCCTCCAAAGAGATTGCCAATGGGACAGTGGTGTGGATAGATGCTCACAAGAGGCTAAGGCGAGATCAACCAATTCATTGCACATGTGACCTCAGCTCAGATTTGAGCCTCCAGTTCCAGGAGTGAACAGGGCTTATTCACTGAAAGCTAGGCCTCGGGTTGCCAATCCTCCAGGATTGTCTGTGAGTCTCCAGGAATTAAAGATTAAGCTTTAATTAACAATTACGTCATGGGATGAAACCTCCAGGAATATTGGCACCCACCAGAACAGGCCATAGCACTCAGCCATTACTTTGCAGGCGTATCTAGCAAAACCACAAAAGCAAATCACAGTTTAGCTCCCAAAAGACCACAACAGAGACTGGAGAAGAACAGGGCTAGGACGGCAGAGTCCCTGCCTGAGATAAGGCACATTAAATCTAGGACAGGGGAGTTGCTCTGGGCTTGCTGCACAGAGAATTGCTTCTCTAAATAAGACTGGTCCACAGAGGGAGGGCACCAAACCATGAAACAGATCTTCTGTCCCCTTGCCTCTTCGAAGTTTGTTCCTTGTGCTCCAGAGAGACAGCACTGCACGATTTCTTTCCTTCAAAATGTTGCGGTACGGGCACACATCACTCCAGAGCCTGGAGCGGGCGCGAACAAAGTCTGAGATCTGAGTGATGCCCTGTCCTGGATATGTTAGATTCATTAAGTCCCAGTAACGTCAGAGGAGGTTCAAGCTGAAATCTGCACAGTGTCTTCCTGGGCCTTTCCCAGAACGTGCCCTTCAAAGCGTGACGTATCCAGCAGCCACCTAGTGTGGAACACGTCATCCGTTTCAGTTTAACCAGAGTCATATAAAGATTGTGGGCAAGAAAACAAGGCTCTAGTCGATATTTAGAAACGTGGATTTGCTTAGCGCAGAGAGGAACATGTTGTTGAAGTGCATTAATTTTGGAGGAATTGTTTTTCTCTAGTGCCATAAAGCCTGGGTTATGAGGAGCTTGTTAAATTGTCCCACGGTCATTATAACAACCCCCATCTGCAGGAGCTGCATTTAGGTTCTCAGCTCTATAGCGGCCCTCATGAGCTACAGGAGAACTTCAATCAGCTGGTGGTTGTAGAAGTTTGTTATCTTCTGTGGGGGGCCAGCCACTAGAAGGGAATGTAACACACACTGAGCAAGCAGTAGACCTGGGATATGAATGTAAAGAGGGGCACATCTATTTAAGAAACTTTCCACTGGGGCTCGGAGCGAACAAATTGTCAGCTGGGGGAACTGACAGAACTGAATTGTTCCTCTAAGGGATAAAGAGGTTGCAGTGAGTTATTTTGCAATTGTGACGTACCAAACTACTCCCAGGATTTAAACGTTGTTCTCAGGACTATCAAAGGTGCCCTGAAAGGGGGAGAGATGGGAGACGTTGCCTTTTTCATGAGCATTTTCCCTCCCAATGCTGTGGAAGTGGTGGCTAATAGATTGGGAATTCTGAGGGGCTGGGGACTTTCTAAAATAGATGGCAAGTATCTGGCTCTGGCCTTTACGGAAGAGCATAAGGCCTTAGGCACCCAAAGTTGGGGGGGCACCTAATTCCCTTCTAACCCTTGAAAATGGCAGCCTTGTCTACACTAGGGAGGGTTTACTGGTGTCGCTTCACTGCGGCCCTTCTCCAGTGAAGATGCTGTTTACCCCCAGTACAGCTCAGATCACTTCCCCAAACAAAATAAGCTACACGAGCAAAAGGACTTTTTTCTGCTGGTATGAATCTGCCAACCCTAGGGCTTCTGCCAACACAGCTATGTCAGCTGGGGAGGGATTTCTTCCCCCTCCTGACTGACAAGTTTAGCCCAGGGCTGAGTGAAGCAAGCCAGTTTAGTGGGGAAAAAGGTAATTCTGAAAGGAAAAAAAAAAAAAGACAAGCAAGCAATGCAGCGCCTAGCAGTGTATTTTAAAGTCAGCAAAACTCCTATCGGCAGCCCAGCGAAGACCCTCCTGCCTCTTTTGTGGCTGTTTATTTTGCCAGTGAAGAGGGCGTATAATGCGTTTCCTTTTTGAAAAGATGAGTTGTCAAGGCAACGAGGCCCTGTTTGCAACACACTCCAGGCTTTCTGAAGAAAAATTCATCTTTGTGACATCGACCCTACCTAAAAGTCAAGGAGCGATTCGCCCATCACAGTCCCCTGGATATGTCAGCTTGCAGTCAGACTTCTTGAGATCGAGGACCCTTCTTTAGAGCCCAGAATCTGGATTAAGGCCCTTTAATCATATTTTTTAGACGAAGTATTAACTAGCAGTGACTTTCCCACAAGAGGCTGACATCAGTGTTTTGGCTAAGAACATGGGGGAAGATGTTAAGCTCTTTATGGGGAGGACTCAGCGTTCATGCATTCCTGGGAATGACCTTCCTTTTAGAAATCATAGCACTCAGGGACTGAAATTCAGAGCAATCGGAAAAGGATTTCGCAGAGCTGCAGCCTGGTAAAAGGCCCAGGGCCCTGTATAGAAAGTAAAACACGCTCCCCCACCCCAAAATACAAAACAAAAAACCACCAAAGAGGGAGCGGGACTCTGGCAGGAGATATGGTGGAGAGGGGCCCAATGGAACAGCTTTAGAACTCAAATCCAGATCTGAATTCCACAGCTGGCCCCCAGACTCTATGATGAGCCCTCTCAAGGCTCCTGATCCCCAAACTCTGGGCAAGCCCCAATCCAGATTCAAACCCATTTCTTGTGGAACAGGGGTCTGATCTCGCTAGTGGCAGAGCACCGTCTACGTGGCACTAAGCGCTGTCACTTTCCACTGACGTCTAAGGGAGTCGGGGATACTCAGCGTTTCACAGGAGGAGGTTCTAACTAGACCTTTAAATGTACCAATAAATGCCCTTTCCCCTTCGAGACTCGTTGAAAAATTAGTTTTGTTTCTTAACTGAGGGCTGTGGCTCGTGTCCCTGGTTACAATCAGACAAGGGAAAACATTAATAAAATCTAAACAAATGAAAATGTCTGAAATAAAAAGAACCATTATTTCTAGGGGAAGTTCCTCCCGTTTGTAGTATTTGCTTGTACAGCTCCTAGCACACTGAGGTCTTGGTCCATGACTGGGACTCCGAGGTGCTATGGCAACACAAATCATCATCATCATCATCATGAGGCAAAGCAAAGCAATACAAGGCGAGAAGGGAAATGCAGCTGGGTGGCAGAGACAAGCGATTGCTAGCAAGCTCCTTACAGAAGGTGAAAGCCCACATCTGAGCAGTGATTGACAGCAAGCTGAATGCCTCTCTCGCCAGCTAATTCAAGCAATGGTCAGAAATGGAGCCGGCAAAAAAAAAATCCAGTTTTAATTTCAGCAAAAAAAAATTCAATTTTTCAGTGAAAATATTCGAAACAAAACAGAAATTTGGTTTCAAAATTTGTTCTTCTTTGGTTGAAAAATGTCAAACTGGTTTCCCAAAGCACTTTGGTGTCAGCAAAACTGAATTTTTCAACAACAAAAGATTTGAACCAGCTCTAGCAATCAAGCTTTCGGGCTTACGGCACAGCTCGGTTCTAAAATAGACTGTGAAAACAACGGCATCACGGGGTGGTGTTCATTGCCTCTCGGCGACGCCCAGATGTCATCTGCTCAGACAGCGAGAAGGAAGATGTATTTTCTAACCTCCCACTCTGCCCACGCAGGCTGGGATCCGAGAGTCAGGCTGGGTTCTTTGGGGCTTATGCCTCGCAAGTGACAATAAATTCTGCAGTCAGAACTTACTGAACAATTCTGTTGAAAACACGAGAGCCAGAATGGATTACAACAGACAGGCCGAGTCTACTGAAAGGACACTGGATTCAGGAGGCTTGGCTTTTATTCCCAGCCGTGTCATTCATATTCCTCAGTCCGGTCACTTCACCGCTCCGTGCGTCTGTTTCCCCCCATTCCCAGCCTTTGTCCGTCCTTTCTATTTAGATGATAAGGACTTTGGGACAGAGGACGAGTGTCACTATATATATATATATATATATATATATATACAGTGAAGAGCACGGTGGGGCCTCCAGGCTACTGTAATCAAAACCCTAATGACCAGAATCCCACTCGCTCTGCCGTAGCTGTATCAGCTCTGCAGTGCTGAACAGGAAGAAAACCTTACGAGTCACTATCGTTAACAGGATGACAAGCGGGAACAGAGCTTTGGAACAAGACTGCCATTTTCAGAGTCACTTTTCAGAGCAGAAGCCTACTTTGGGGGAATTCACCCATGCCGTGGGCTACCACGGCCTAATCACACTACCCAACTCCCACCTAAGCCCTCGAACCAGGGCTGGAATGGTGCATATGCCTCTGCACAAGGCTGGATATAAGAGTGTTTGATAAAATGTGCACGCCCATCAAGCAAGCAAGGAAGGCCGGAGTCTAGCTGCAAGGACACCTGCTTCGCTTCGTTCTTCACTCAGGAAGCAGGTTCGCAGCCGGTAGGAGGGCACGCAGACTGGCTGTGCTGACTACCCCTCAGACTGCTGAACCATCGAACCGAACGACTGAAGAGCTCCTTTTCTTCTCTGTGAACTGACACGAGCTTTACCATTTGATTCGAGTCACTGCCTGCTGCGGCACAGGATGAGGAAAAAGTCTCTCCCCGGGGAGGGTCATCCGGGAGTTTTTGCAGGTATTGCATCCCCAGGGATCTGGGACGGGATGTTTGATTTAATTGCATGGGACTTTTAATTTTGTGGAGTACCGCAAAGCGGCCTGGGAACTCCAATGCACTGTCAGATCCTGCAGCGCTGGGATAAACTCTGGTCATCGGCGAGAGGATTCTGTGCTTCAGTCTTGAGAGATGGAAAATGGGCAGGTTTTTCATGCAAACTGCAAGAGGCGAGCTGGGTATATATCATCACTCTGGGCTGGGCCCCAGCTCGGGGCGCAGGCAGCACAGTGCAACGAGTCCTTTCGGTCTTCAAGGACGCTGGGAAAGAAGCTTCTCCCAGTGGCCAAGGGAAGAGAACTGGAAGGAAGTGGATCGTATCTGAGACTTTCATGCCCTTTGGCAGCACAACGAGGAGGAGGACGGAACTGCAAGACCTGATCCCCAATCGCCATGTCCTTCCTAGGGTACATTCACAAGGGCTGTGGGTACATCTACACTGCGGAAAAAACCCCATGGCACCGAGTCTCAGAGCCCACATCAACTGTCTCAGGCTGGCAGGGCTAACAATAAGAGTGTAGACGTCCCCACTCGGGCTGCAGCCTGAGCTCTGAGACCGTAGACCAGAGGTGGGCAAACTACAGCCCGCGGGACTGTCCTGCCCGGCCCTTGAGCTCCTGGCCAGGGAGGCTAGCCCCTGGCCCCTCCCCTGCAGCCACGCCGCCGTGCAGGCAGCACTCTGGGCGGCGGGGCTGCGAGCTTCTGCTGAGCAGAGCAGCAGCGTGTCTAGCTCCCGCCGGGCGGCGCGGCTGCCAGACATGCTGCTCTGAGTGGCATGGTAAGGGGACTGGGGGGGGTTGGATAAGGGGCGGGGAGTCCTGGGGGGCAG